TTTTAAGCACGATTTCCTCTCTACTTTCTACTTGTCTATGTATTTTAACACAAAATAATATTTCATTAACATCAACTAACTTAATGCTGATATAGTTAAAAACTATTACTTTATTTTGTATTTGTGGGGTAATCATAGGGATGGCTCAACATTAAGGATCTCTGTTTATACTACTAGAGTGATAAATATCATTTCAGTTACTTTTGTGCTCACAATGTACAAACTCATGTACCTTTGTTTTCAATCAGACAGAACTTGAACCCTTCAGTTTGACATTACTGTTCTTACCTCTTTATACACTTAACTGCAAATCACAGATTTTGCCAATGCACAGTGGCACTAATATTATCTTGCATAATTTAAACTCATACTTCGTAAATTTTTAGAATCCCAGCAGCCTCATATATACAGTTTTGAAACTAAATTACTTACTAGAATGATTTAAAACTTTTTATTTATCAAAAGCTGCAATATTCACCTTAAATTAGAGATTCTTTATGAATGTAAGTAAATTAATAAGTGTGTTGTGACTCACATTTGCATTCCTCAGAACTGTTGAGGTAAAATGTATAAAAACTCTATCTTCTGTCTATCTTCTTAAAAGGTGAATGCATACTTACTAAATGAAAAGTCAAAGCTTAAAATATTTATTTGTCACTTTATGTAGGAAAAACTATTTCTATTCAATACTCTCGTATGTTAGTTTTAGAAAAACAAGTTTTTTTTTTTACAGGGTTTGGATACCGTGAATACTAACTCTAAATTCTCTATAATTTCTTGGTGCCTTGATACCTTTTGGTTCTAAAATTATGTTTTGTGAATTGGAAGCATTTAAATTTAAACAATAATCTGTGCAAATACACTTATGGGTAGTTTTTGAGGTTTTTAATAATTTAGCATTTGACACAGTACCAAGATGAATAAATATTAACATTAATATTTATATTTGGCTAAGAGCATAACATGATGAGTTATTTATGCTAAACTATCACATAAAAGTTTGACAGTGATGGAAGAGAGCACCGTAAAGGGATCTCCACTGATCAGAAGTTACTGTCACTAATGGAAAAATACAAGGATTTACAAGTTTTAGGTGAGCGCAAACAAAGGAGTTATAATTTTACGATCCTTGTTTATGAAGCCTGATACTCAAAATTTCCACTTTTACATTTACTGATTTTTTTTTAAAATATAAAAGCTATGGTGGACCCATGCCTAACCTTAATCTCCAAGATGTGTAACATTTCTGTATCCCAATAGTTAACAATTCACCATGGCTGTCGAGGGAGGGACGAGGGAGGGACAAGGTGGGTGCGTGTACTTATAACTGTTTAGGAGATATTTTTAGCTTTTTTTGGCTATGTATTTTCCCATAGTATCTGAAACAGAGCTTTAAGATTTTTCTTTAAACTGTTAGTGATTGATTTTTCTTGTTAAAAAGACAGTTCATTGGTGATTTCTGAGTAAGCAGAAATTAACAGAGTACTGGCAGAGATGTCCTTTTCAGTATGTATATATATACATCTATATATATATATACATATATATATATAGATGTATATATATATATATATGGAAGGTGGAATATTGGTTAGAAATATTTAACTTAAGTCACTTAATTGGAACTTGTGGAGAAAAATTAGAGCAACAATTTGATTAAGAAAAAAATCTAAGAATATTCAGACCCTTTATATTTTCAAAGGTGGCTGCATCTCAGAGAGCAAGCTTTTTTTTTTTTTTTTTTTTTTTAACTTTAGCAGGCAGAATCTAGAGTTTAAAAAAATCCAAGACCCCTCCTTGTTTACAACAAGAACAAAACTAGAGTTAAATCCTCCCAGGCTGCAGCCATCTCTTGATCACAATGGCAGCTGTGCTCCTGCTTGGGAGAGCAGGGATTTTATGCAGAGGCAAGAGAGAAAAGCCACCATTTAGGTGTCCTTTGTAATAAACAACTGACAGACTACTCAACAAGGAGCCTTGAAAAACCACACCCCGGCTTGGTCTGCCGCACTCCTTTCTTGCCTTAAGGCTCTCCTCCTTTTTAGAAGTTTCCTTTCAAGGAGCAAGAAGAAAAGCATCCCTAGAACTCATAGGATTCCCTCCACAGACAAAGGGTGCAAAGTTTTGTGGGCTACCACGCTGCAACCTCCTTCTCTTTTCGAGACAGGAGGCTATGGCTGGAACTTTGGTCCTGGTTAGAGGTTGTGCTGCGGGGCAGTTCAATGAGCCCTAGGATCAGACCCTCTTAACACCCCACTTACCCTAGAGCTTCCCCAGAAATACTCTGAAATACCCCAAGCAGAGGCACTACTGGGTGGTGTAGTCAGATCTGGGGATAAATTGCTGGACTGACCCACAGGGAGACTGCTCAGTCCTAGACACCAACACCATTTGTGTCTGGCAAATTGACCTGACTCAGGACAGTTACCATTGCCAGAAGCAAACCTTGGAGCCAAAGCTCTGACAGGACGACATGGGAATGGAGACAGTGTGTGTGGTGGCAGGGCACGGTGTATGGCATAGATGGCATGCTCACGGGCAAAAGGCAGAGCCAAGTTTACTGGCAGCTCCTCCCCCCAGCAGAGTCTGTTCCAACGGTCTGCTGAGCAGCCTTGCACAAGGAAAAGATGATTTGATACTTCTGTCTCACCACTTAATTGACACTCAAGTTCGACTCTCAGAAGACTTCTGGATAGCCTCATTCTACACCCCCCCTCCCCATAGGAATACTGGGCATCGAATCTCCGAAGGGCTTATTTCATCTTTAATAAACAGTAGCCAGGGATGGGATGGGACAAGGCACTGACTTCAGGGCATGCGAATGGGACAATAAGAGATCAAGAGAGGAGAGGCAAAAGGGCTAGAGAGACCTCTGACTTTTTCTTTACCAACTTCCTTCCCTTCAGGCTGCCTCAGGAGAGTCATCCTGGATTAGACCTGGTGAACTGTCCTGGGCCGCTTGGTAAGACTGATGTTCTCTGAGACAAAGGTGTGGGTTCACATTGGGTTTCTAAGGTATACACCAGGACTAGCCCTTGGCTTAAATCTTTCAAGCCAGCAGTCAGGGGCCTCCCAGGGGAACCTGGAGGTGAAGCAGCAAGAGCAGTGCGATCAAGGTGAAGTGCAAGGAAGCTGCACTCAGCTCCTGCTCTGCTCCACCCTCCATAGCTTAAGGGATGTGTAGCTGGGCTACAGGATTAGTGCAGGGAACCAACTACGGTGGCACGTGGTGGTTTCTGACCCTCAGGTAGCTTGAACCTAGCCATGGGGGAGGGGGACTGTTGGGAGGGGAGAAAAAGCCAAGCAGCTAACAGCTTCAGTTGGGAGGGAAGGAAACCAAAACGAAAGTGCTTGAGATGAGATGGTGAGGTGGGGCAGAAAAAGATAAACAAAAACCCAGTTTCTCACTAAGTAAAGGCTCTCTCCCCGCCAATTCCTGTAGTACAGTTTCTTGAAAGAATTTGGATAGTGGAGCATGTGACCATCCCGTGACTGGGACAATCAGCTGTTGTCACTGAGCACAAGCACACAGAGATCCTGACATTCAGTGCTAGGGTCAATCAAGACACTCACCAAGATACCTTTGTCTCTTCTCTAGAGTCCTATCCCTAGGGGTAATGGGCAACTTCTCTCCATCCCTGTTCCTCCTGCCTTGTCCTACACAGCCCAGGCCCCAAGGTGGTGGCCCCAGCATTTCTATGCCTTCGAGGTCAAGTCAGGCCTAGGGCTCCTCGAGGATGGCGAGGGTGAGGGTCATGCACACTCCCCCTTAAAGGGAGTAGGGTCAGTGCATGGGAGCAGGCAGCCTGGTGGACGAAGATAGGTATTTGTGAGCCCTATTCTGAGTGTGTCCTGCTAAGAGTGCTTCCGTCCAGGATGCAGGAAGGTCCAGAGACTTGACTGTCGCCTATTTCTGTTTTTAGGATCTGGAGGGACTTGCGAATCAGAGAGAAAAGCCCCCTAGGAACACAACGCATCAAAGAAGGGACACTTGGAGGTTGGAACTGGGTGTCTAGGCATTTGCAGATGTCCAAGTCAGGGGGGCATCTGGTGGCTTCTTTAAGAAAAGAGAGAAGTTGTAAAGTGAGAGAGGAGTCCTGGACACAGCGCAAGAAACTTGTGCCACAGGAGAGGAGATCTACAGACTGACTCCATCAAGCGTCCCTGGCCATCTACTCAGTCAGAGTGAAGTCAGAGCAGGGGACTAGCCTCTGTCATCCCCGCGGGCCACTTTGCATCGTTTGCCCTGAGGTCGCACCGCCTCTGGTGGCAGTGGCCCTGGACCGAAGGCTCACTTAGCACTAGCTCCCATCATGGTCCTTTATCTTAGAAAATAGACCGAGTCCCCTGATTTCCCCGATATGAGTAGCGCGGCCTTTAGTCTCCTGAACTTTCTCCTAGCAACTCTTTTTGGGGATGGGCCCAGTCAGAGTGAAGCTGAAAGGGAACAGGGGACCTAGGGAAGGTCCAGCCATAGGCATCTGCATCCAGTTTCCCGGAGCATCCCGTGTTTACTCCTCCTGAGGAGGGACGCGCCTGTAGACTCGGATGCTCCTGCGTCTGGCAGCTTGGCCCTGTGTTATCCCCCTTGGGCCAGCTTGTTCACCTCTGGCCAGCGACCACAGCGTGACCCAGGCTTCCAGCTGCCTCTACCCAGTCATCCCGCTTCCTGCTCTCCTCTATCCCGTGTCCTGTGGCGCACCCGAGAGCGACGCGCAGAAAAGATTCAGAGCAAATCCAGAACTGAGAGAAGCGACTAGCGCAGTCCCCGTCTCCAAAAAGCGCCCTCCCGCGTCCTGCCTAAGTCCCGAGCCTTCCACACCTTCTCACAACTTTCTAAGCCCAGGCCATTTGCTGTCCCACCTGCGAACCGAACTCAGGGAGCTGCACGTAGCCAATCTCTCTTCCCTTGGGCCGAGAGCTCTCCCCTCCCCCCCAGCTCCCGGTCTGGTTAGAGTTGGATGGCCTCGGGGACCCTGGGCGCCCCTGGGCTCGCTTACCTCGCATGGTGTGGCCGCTGTCCTGCTCCGCGTAGTCATGAAGCTCCCAGCCCGAACCCCAGAGAACCCAAAAATCCCGCTCAGCACGAGGGAAGAAGGCGGTCTGCGAAGAGCTGCTCCGCCGAGAGAAGCATCCCTTTAGGCAGACGTCGTGGCCACAGCGTGACGGTGGCCGCCGCCGCTATGCTAACAGTTTTGATGCTGTTGCTGATGACTGTTTTTGATGGCTGTTCGTTTGTTTTCAGGCAGGGTGGAAAAAAAAAATGTCCTGGCTGGCTGGTGCCTGGGTTTTGTTTTGCTTTTTTGTTTGTTTGTTTGTTTCTTTTTTCTTTCTCTCCAGTGTGCTTGCTTTTTGAAAAAAAAAAAATGCCACCGCCTCGGGCTCGGAGATTTCTTTTGTGATCACTTGGACTGAGGAGGAGGAGGAGGAGGAGGAGGAGGAGAAGGGCAGCCGCAGGAGGAGGAGGAGGAGTTGGTGGTGGTTTTGTTAGTTACAAAGAAGAGGGAGAACGATCAAGGGGAAAAAAAGGAAACAGAAAAGAAAGAAAGGCGGTGTGGATGGCAGAGCATGTGCGTTTTCACATGACATCTGTGCCTGTTAGCGGATCCACAATGTGAATTTTCACTGTTCAGTTGCAGAGAGGAAGGGAGCAAGAGAGAAAGAGGAGAGAGGTGGAGAGAGCCAGCGCAGAAGAGGCTTATACGTGAGGGCGGGTTTGGCCGTACTTCCTGGCCCCGCCTCCTGTCAGCGCCAGGGCCAATCAGCGTCCCGCAGCGCGTGGAAAGGCTGGAAAGGCGGGGGAGGGGACGCGCTTGAGGACAGGGGGCGGGGCTAGGGACTCTGGTGTCCCAGGCTGTGGGGACCCAGACTGGGAATTAGAGATGGTCCTATCTGGGGTCCGATCTGGGCCGAGTGTAACCTGCCTGGGAGTGAGGCAGATCTGCGAGTGACG